CTCCCTTTCTTTGAAACTCATTTATCTGTGATGAGAATAACAACGTGGCTCTGTTGCCGTCTACTTGTTTTGCTAACCAGTATTTCCTTTCCAAAGGAAATGGTAAAACAGAAACATTTTCATTTCATACTGGGAAAAAAAAAAACCAACCTCAAATACACTCTTATTTCATTTGCCTAAATCTTGTTTGGACAGCTTGCACAGCTCACAATCTTACTGTTATCACTCCCTCCTCTGAATTAGAGCGAGAGCAGGAAGATAAATATAATACTGCAATATACGGCTTGATACCGAAGATCACTCTGCTGTGACATGCCTCGCACTTCAGCTCTAACACGACGATATGCTTATCTAAGGTTTGAGGAGACTGAACAGCCTGTAATATATTAACACACCCTTCATTTCGGAGATAGTGTCAGGAGCTGAAAACCAGCTCCAATTCACCGTGCCGCTTCGGTTATTTCCCCTCCAGGATCAGGTGTTTTCTCCCCTCTGATCCCACGCCAGATCTGAGAGAGCAGCCGCATGCTTGCCCTCCTGTGAACAGGAACCAAACGCCGGGGTTAAGATCTAGTGAGAAAAGCCCATAAGGGCACTTTTTTCTGCAGCTTCAAATATTAACATTCTAAAAGACAACTTGCAGCAACTCCTATTTTTAAGTTTCTCAAAGGAGCCTTGAGACCATTTTAAGAAGCCCATTGCCTGTAAGCATTTGACATTCAGAAAGGAGAATGGTCTCTGGCTGCAGAAGCGCTTTTTCTTTCCTCCAAGCCTACATTTCAAGTGTCACTGGCACAGTGAGGACAGGGAGAGACAAGCTCGGGGTTTCATTTAGGTTGTTTTTTTTAACTGACCCAGCTACAAGCCTGGCGCCTGGCTACAGCTTCAGCTTCCCCTGAAACCAGTCATGCTTTTGCTTGTGTGGCCGACTGCTGAATTGGCAAAAGCTACCTTTGCAAAACCACTTTTGCCAGAACTCCTTTTTGTGTTTGCACTAAAGAGGCAAAAAATGTAGATAAAGCTTTTGCCAACGATATCTTGGTCTATTGGAACAGATGTTACAAAGTATAAAATAAACTACCATTTCCTCAGTGTTTTAGCTCTCCAGTACCAGAGCCACGTTTGCCCCTCACGAAGGAACTGAACGGTCGGTGGATAAGCGTGAGGAGAAAAGCAGCGATGCCTGTTTCAGCTCCTCTGTAAGCCACAGGATGTGCAGAACTATAAAAAAGTGGGGAAAAAGAGAGGTGGAAAAGACATGTCTACAAGGATTGAAAGGATTCCTGGAAAGAAGACGGGCAATTAACACACACATGGAAAAGCTCCTCAGTTAGGATGACATTACTAACTTCTTTTTTTGTCTTTGGTCACTAAAAGTATCTTTACAGGGAGCATTAAAAAAAGGAAAGACTTGGAAAGATTAAAACCCAGACGTAGCTGTTCCCTCCCGCTTAGCACGCTTGTTAATCCCACAGGTCTTGCTGAAGTGAAAAGACAAATACAAGCAAGAAAAGGCGATGGGGAGCACACACGCTTCATTACAAACCGGTACTTGACATTTCTCTTAGGTACAGAAAAATTTTAGGATGCTGGTGACTAATATAACTCCCTAATCCTTGGCTGGCTTCAGAAACCCTTGCCATAAGGTCAAGGTCAGGACAAGGTTAGTGCCTTAATAAAAGAGGAAATATGGCATCTTTAATGATTGCTTCTGGCTGTTTTTCTCCTTACCTATAATAATGCCACAGTGAGTGTTTGCTTTCTTAAAGTGTTGCAGAGCTCTTTGCTTTACCTGCTGACAGACCCTCATTGCCCACCCCGGGGCACAGCCAGGGACCTGATGGTAGACCTGCAAGATGATGTTTCGTGCTGAAGATCACAAATTTAGGGCTGTCTTCACAGGGAAGTTCAGTGAAGGTGGAAGAACCCTGTTAGCATGCAATTGCACAGTACCTTAGATAACCTACTATTTATTTTAATGTTACCCACCTGAGGGAGGCTCCGCTAATGAATCTATTTTTGTAGTACCATAAAGGTTGAAGTTTAGAGCTAAGTTTAGAGCAGAGACATATAAAAAATGTCAAACCAGGAAACAGCTTAATGAAAGCAGAGAGTAATCACAGCAAATTACAGTGAAATTTCTATGGGATTACGTTTTGCATTCCCCAAACAAGCAGAGGAATTCATCTCACTTAGCTTAATTCCATTTTGCTGAGAATTCACTGTAAGGATATGCTATGTAAGTAACATAATGCGATGCCATAAAAGCTGTCTTAAGATACTTTTCAAAACAGAGTTCAGATTTCTTCCCACTGCAGTCTATGGAAAAATAGCAATATATGCCACAAATTATCACAGAGAAAAAAATTAATATTAGGAGGAATACAAGGCACATTTTATTTTGTGGCTACTAATAATGAAGTCCCTTTCTAAACTCCAACGTTTAGAAACCAACCAGCAGTGGATATGATAGGGAGGGTCACCCCAGGAGAAGAAAGCTGGTATTCCTGGGATGCTTCCAAGAATCACTGCAGAATTTAATCTCTCCCCACTGGGAAACCCAGGTTTGCATCTAGGAAATGCCCTGTGGTCAGCACCTCACCTAGCAGCCTTGAACACCTCCTCTGAAACAGTATACATACAGCTTGCATATATATGTACTGTATATATACCTTCCTCTCCCACCCTGCAGGTTATCTTTCTTTCACCCAGGCTTTACAGCCCACAGTCCAGGAACAAATAAAAGCAATTTCACATTGCTTTTTACCATATGTAGTGATTTTCTCTACTTTTCAACAGGTCTCCAATATGAGAAGAAACTGGGAACTTTTAATCTTACTCCGTTACTATTGCACAGCTCTGGATGGTTAGTTTAGTGGAAAAAACATGTTGACTTTTGGGTAACAATGTCACTGCAAATCTCTCAAGGCTAATTCTTGATGACAGCCACTGTAAATACACTGGAACGTGCACAGAGCCGCAGCTTGGCCCTATTAAAGGCAACACAAGTTTCA